TGTATTAAGTCAATGTTCAGTTGTAAACTTCTGAAAGAACCATGTTTTGCTCAGAGTTATGAACATTACAGAGTTACGGACAACGTCCATTCCCGAGGCGTTCATAACTCTGAGGTTCTATTGTAATACACCAAAGGCTTATATTTTTGGTCTCAATGAGGAGAGGGTATCCTATGAACTCCTGAACTTACTTAAGTTAACATTTCCACCATGAAAACAAAATATTAAATTATACGTCAAAACAATTTTTTCTTGAAGCAGACATGCAGATATAAATTGAATAGTATATTCTACAAGAATGTGGATTTTATGTGCATAGTTATATGACAATCGCTTTTTATTTATTATAAATGTTTTTATGGAAAGTGACATCTACAAGTTACTACTATACTACCTTAAAAGTTCTTAGTTTTGTTTTTCTCTATAGCATATTCAGACGAACATTATATCAAATGCATAAATATGGACTCTTATATGAACTCTTATTCTTGATTATATGAATTTAAAGTCTTGACAATCAATTTGGAAAACACGAGACAAGCTGAAAGATAGCTGCAACTCTGGCCTAAAGGTAATGAAACGGAGGTTTCTTGTTGTACATTTGGTTCTGTTACTGGGACCATGATTATATTATACACATACATATACGACATTAAACTATTTGTTGAGTGTTTGTCTTCATGAAAAACAACTAAAATAGTTTGCAAGTATCGCCTGGGCCACAATTTAAAATGCTGCTTTTTATAGTATTAGAATTTGTCTAACACTCCCAATGAAAATAATTTTTGCTTATACTTAAATACTCTCCTACAGTCTTTCAAGGACTATGTAAGTATTATGAATTATTTACATTACCCTAATAGTGCAGTGCAAGCATCTGTTTTGAAAAAATTAGCGTCCCCTTTACAATTCAATATGTTTTAAAAAAATCGAAGGTATTATCAGTAACAGGGAGGGAATTTTATTAAAGCAATGATTTTTTTCCATTTGCATATTGGCTGAATGATCATAGGAATCTTATGTAGTGCCTTACATCTCCATCCTGAAACTGAGTTTGTGGATGAGCAGGACCTGCACAGAGCCACACTAAAGCCAATGGGCTCCAACATATCCGCTGGTAAGATCAGAACCTCTTCGTATATATTTGAGTTTCTACCAATTTATCTTTTAATAAATAGTAAATCTGGATAATTTTACTCTGACAGTTGAAGTTTGAAAAAACATTTAGTAATGTTTCTATTCTCTTCACGCATGTGCATAGCCTACACATGTAACACCAAGGAGACTAAACACAAGGTGTTCAAACACATTTAGGGCTGATCCAAACAGTTTTTATAACAATTTAAGCATGCTGGTTTATAAAGTGATCTAGTTAGCGTGATGCAACCTGCCCCTCCCAAATGTGGATGTAATTATACCAGTATAAAGATGCTTACATCAATATAGCAAATACAAAAACAAACTGTACCAACATAAGCACCTTTATACCTTCATGACTCTGTCCACATTACATCAGCTTTAAAACCAATATCTCAAAATTGGTACAAAAACTGTGCAGACAAGCCTGTGAAGTTTTAACTCATGTTTCCTAAATGAACTGTCAGTACAGTATAAGGATAAAGAGTCCATACATGCATAAAGCTATGTTTCCATGTATTATGTATGTGTTACAGTCACTAATTTTAAGCAGCATCAAGCAGGTTTTATTGATTTCCATACAACTTCTTATATAGTTATCAAAAGCATACTTAAAGATTTTGATTCACTATGAAAAAGGCAAACATTTCTTTCTTCATTGAAAAAAAGTGTCCTAATCTTACCGATACTGTGGGTTTCGTGCCCATACTCCTGTTCCCACCGAGGCACCAACAATGACCATTAGCTTCCATAGCCATATTGGAGCAAAGACAGCCCAATAGCTCCACTGAATTTTGTCATCCAGACGGAGAGAGAGCAGAACAGAGAACAGCAGCAGACAGGCATAGATAAGAAATTTGCTATTAAAGAAGAAAAATACAACTTAGAAGATATGGCAAATTGTTTTACATACTTTCAGAAAACAAAGGAAACTCAGTTCAGACAGTGTCTTGTTTGTCTGCATTGTACACAGCAATTTTGAATCAGGCCATTACTTAATACAACAGAAAATGTATGGCTGTTGAATTTCTTTGGGTAGATTTAATCAATTCTGAAGAGGTGCTTTAAGTATTATATTTATGATTAAACAGTCTTATATACCACCTTTTTCATTTATAAAATAATTACTTCAAGTGAACACATCAAAAGCATTCTTACAAGACAAGCGTACAGGATATGAATGGAATTTTTTTAAAACATTTCCCCTCCTACAATACTGCTCCTGATTAGTCTTATTAAATACGCAACTTGGTTAAATTCCACAAGCCGTATGTTCCCGGTAAGTACATTTTGCAATACAAATTAAGTAATAATTGTAATCCATATATTCATTATGGTTATTTTTAATTCTAATAAATCTAGAGTGTAAAAAAATTAACTAAACTAAAAATGAGTTTAGTTTCCTAATTAGGTATGCCTAATTTTACAAAAGGATTTTTAGACTTGGTTTTGCCCTAATTTATCAAATTTATTATTGAAAATTTAAATTTTGGTTTTCTAGAAGATAATTTGATATGCAAAAGTTACTGTCTCAATGATTTTAAAGATTAAAATACATGTACAATAAAGAAAATTTCACTTAAAAGTTGTTTAAGTACCTAAACCACTACATTTTATAAACTAGTTAATAATCTAAAACTCTTCTCATCCACTCACAATGCACCCATTCAACAATAAATACAGAAACCTGTCACCATACCACCAGAAGTTAGATAAAATTACATATGCAAAAGTCATTTGTTACTACAGGACAAAAATAATTTGCGCTTATCAAGCACATTCACCTGAGGATCTCAGAGTGCTCTACACACATGTAATTAAGCTTCAATACCACCTCTCTGCGGGAAATAATTATATATAGTTTATAGAATGATAAAGTGAGAAACAGAGAGATTAAGTGATTTGCCCAAGGCCACCCAGTAAATCAGCAGCTGAATCAAGAATACAATCCCTAGTCCCACAATATAACCAGTAAGCCACTCTCCTTTATTCTCATAAAATCCTAATAGAACATTCACAAGATCAGCATCTCCAGTTCAAGGACAAGCCTCTATTCAGCACAAGTGTCTCAGCTCTGAAAGTTTATAAAATTTATCTTCTTCTCTTCATTCTTTTTGAAATGGCAGACATGATTCAGCTTTTAGCATCCCTGCATCAATACATTTCCTGAAACATTCATTATTCTGTACAGTCTGTACAACCAAATGCAGTTAGCTACAATTGTTATTGTGATTAGTTAAGGTCCATTGGTGGAAATGCTTCATGAACTCTCTGCTCTGGGATTCTCTCATCCCCCTCACCATCCCTCACACATTACAACTGTTTGTGAACTTTCTACATGCTCTTAAGACATCTTATAATGGTTAACCCTGAGACACAGATCAGATGTGAAATATTCTACTCACTCTCCAAACTCCTTTAACAATTACACGTGTTTGTATTCTCTTGGCCTCAGAGAGCAGTGAATGGAGCTGCACAGATCTCCCTACTACAGCCTTGCCACACTCTACAGAGCCAGAGGTCCAGAGTCAGGAATACAGCAACTACAGCCTTTTCTTCCAAAGGACTCCCATTTTGGCCTCATCTAGATTAGGATTTAAAGATGTAATGCTAACACATTTTCAACCTAGCATACACAGAGCACACTGCCCTTAAAATGTGATAAAATTCTAAAGACGGGGCGGGGAGGAGCAGTAAATTCATTTTCTATCTTAAGGCATCACATCAGACAGAGGCTGTAATTTAAAAGAACACTATCAATCTAAAACTTAGTCAAGATTTTTTAAGACTGAGTTTTAAAGCAGTTTCAGGTACTATGCCTACAAGATTGTGGTTTTACAAATACATATTCCTATTTTTTAAAGTGTCTCTCTTCCGTTAAATCAAGATTGGATGTCTTAATAGAAGACATGCTTTAGTCACACAGAAATTATTGGGCTCAATTCAGGGGTAACTGGGTGAAATTCTATGGCCAGTGTATATAGGAAGACAGACCAGAAGATCTACTGATCTCTTCTTCTGTCCTTACAATCTAAATCCCCTATTGCTGTGAGAAAGACCCACAGAAACAAAAGGAGTAAGTGGGTTAGGCTATGTCTACACTACCGCGGTAAGTCGACCTGTGCTACGCAACTCTAGCTACGTGAATAATGTAGCTGGAGTTGATGTACCTTAGGTCGAGTTACCGCGGTGTCTACACCGTGGGGGGTCAATGGGAGAAACACTCCCATCGACTTACCTTACTCTTCTCGTCGGGGGGGGGGGGAGGGGGGGGAGGGGGCAGAGTACAGGGGTCGACTGGAGAGTGATCTGCTGTCGATTTGGAAGGTCTTCACTAGACCCGCTAAATCGACCGCCGGTGGATTGATCTCAGAGCTTCAATCCTGGCTGTAGTGTACACCTGCCCTGATTTATACAAGAGGGAAAAAATAGTGAAACTGCCTGTGCATTGACAGACAAGGTGGGTGAAGTAATATATTTTATTGGACCAACTTCTGGTGGTGAGAAAGACAAGCTCTGGAGCCACAAGAGAGCTCTTCTTCAGGTCTGGGAAAGGAACTCCCAGCATCACAGCAAAATGCAAGGTGGAACAGATTATTTAGCATAAGTAGTTAGCATGTACTGGAAGAAACCATTCAAGATACAGTGACCCGTCTACACCTCTGCAGTCATAGCCTCCCTGTAAAATATGGTAGTTACACAGATCCTTGTAATAAGCCATGAATCCAACATCTCTGTTCAGTCCATTATTTAGTGTCTAGTGGAGTAATGAACTTAAGCTCGTCGTTTCACGGTATTTTGTGTACAAAGGTTAAATTGAAACAAAGTAAAATTCAGACTGAATTATAAGTTTTAAAATTAGCTCTGTATCTTTAACTTTGGTTATTAAAACACTAGTATTGTAATGGAAAACAAGCGAAATTATTTCAGAGAGTGACATTATGCATAAAAAAAGTAAACTGAGAAGGACTGGTTTGAATCTTGAAAGTGCTAGAATACAGTGTTCATGAAACATTTATACCAGTAGTGTAACTCAGTTATGCAAAACGTGGTTTTTGCATAAATTTGTATCCACATGGACCTATGCTACAACCCTTGCTACGAAACTATGCCAGAATGCTAGGGCAGGTCTCAAGCTTGGTTTGGGATTAACAATAAATAACTTGTTTTTATACAGCACTTTTCTTTCCAAAAGAACCTGAAGTGCTTTACAAGTTTATACCAAAGGACCATTTCATTCATCCCTGAAAAGCATAGTTAGTTATTTTTAAAGCAAGGGCTCATAAAGGCCCTCCATCATGTCCCATTTATGAAAGATGCTGTACACGACCCATCTCTACCCTAAGTGCTTACAGGAAGCTTTTTAAATGGTGAACAATGCTACACAACAGATTAGCATAAAAAGTGAAAAATATTGTACCTCAATGAAACAACACATAGGAAGAAGGTTAGAACTGGGCCCTTACACAAGCCCTCTTTTCCACCAGGTCTTCCCTCTTTGCACACTCCTGACTGTACTTGTTCCATGCTGCCCCTTGGCATAGCCTGCTAACTAGAATACATCAAGCATCCTCTATTCCTTCCTTTAAGCCTTCTGGACAGTAGTATCTCCAACGAACACAACTCATTAGGTTTGTACTGCACACAGCTAGCGGTTGAATAACTGGGGCAGGGGCTGCGTTTTCTCGGGCACACCCTGCCCGCCCATTCCCATGGCAGTCTCGCTGACATGCCTTCAAGCGGTCAGAGCGATCTCGCGCACCCACCCCGAAACCAGGCCACGCTCGGAAACGCGGACCCCGGCAGCACCTGCGACTGCACGCGGCTCTGCCCGGAACAGGCAGAGCTATGTTGCATGCCGTGTTGTCCTACCCGTCTGGGTCCCAGGCTATTAGAGACACAAGGTGGGGGAAGTAATACCTTTCCTTGGACCAACGTCGGTGGATGAGAACACGCTCTGGAGCCGCACAGAGCTCTTGCTCGGGGTCTGGGAAAGGTCCTGGGTTTGCGCAGGGCCGCCGGCCTGTGCTGCCACCCGCCGGGCCCGGGCCCCGCGGCCGTTTCCCAGGGGTGAAGGAGCACCTCAGACGAGATGGGAACAGCTCCCTGGACAGGAGTACGGGGGGCGGGGGGGGCAAAGAGAGAGGGAAGAGCCCGGATTTAAGCCAGGCCCCGTGAGCCCCAGCCGGGCCTTGCCGGGGTACGGTGGCCTGACAGCGCCATACGGACCCTTCCAACAGACTCCAAACGGAAGCCCCCGGGCCGGTCCCGCTAGGCCGGCGGCGGCGGCGCAGGGCCCGGACTCACCTCGGATTGAAATCCTGGAACAACCCGCGCAGGTTCATGGCGCCCCGACCTTCCGCCTCGGCCGCTCTCTACACGGGACGCATGGCGCGAGCGCCGCGGGTGCCCGGTGCTGGTGCCGCCGCCGCCGCCGAACGAGCCAGTTCACCGACTCATCCCTCCCCTCACAGCCATCGCCGGAGCGATACACGCAGCGCGCATGCGCACTTCAGCGCATGCGCAGCAAGGCTGAGAAGCCGCCGTCCTATTTCGTCTCTTTTCCCCGAAGAAAGGACGACAGGCCCGCCCCTCCCGCACCTGATGACCACGGCGGAGTGCGCTTGCGCCTGAGTAGGCGCATGCGCGTTGAGGGAAAGGCGCTTGAGGATGCCTTGTGTTGGTGGAAGGGTTGAGTCTTTGGTCCTTTCTGCCTGTTCCTCCGTAGCTAAGCAACGCTGCCATACCCCGCCTGTACCCGGCTTCCCGCCATGGCTTTGGCCCCGCCCCGCCAGCGTGGGGGATGCTGCAGCCCTTGGCTAGTCCCTGGCTAGTGACCCAGCCCCAGCACTGATCCAGGGCCCCAGGAAGGCTCCAGTGGTGGTGACTGAGCCCTGGAGGTTGCCGGCAGGCTCCGGGGGCCGGGTTGGGATGACACAGGAGAGGTGGGTGCCCTTTGGCATGGCCGGCTGCTCTCGCCCCACCATGGCTGAGCCAGTGCCCCGAGGAGAGGGCGCTGTGGTGACAAGATGGTGACTCTTGAATGTGTGGCTTTGTAGTAATTAGATGCCGAGGGGCCAACCCAGATGTCATCTCTCCACTGTCCTAGTAATTCTTGTCTGAGAATAACAGGCTTTGGATGAGGGGAAAGGCGGATGGAGGAGATCCTGGCTGGACAAAGGAAAATACTGGAGGAGGCTGCAGCAGTGCTATATATATAGCACTTTCTCTCCATAGATTGCAAAGTATTTTACAAAGCTGGATAAATATTATCTTGATTTTTACAGATGGAGAAACTGAGGGGCAGAGAAGTGGCTTACTTAGGGCTTGTACACACTAGCCCTTATGTCGGTATAACTTATGTCGCTCAGGGGTGTGAAAAAGCCATCCTCCTGATGGACGTAAGTTACACCGGCTTAATTACCAGCGTGGACAGTGCTATGTCAGCGGTAGACCTTCTCCTGCCAACATAACTACCACTGTGACAGGATCCCTGGGGTGCAGCCTGGGACTGTGGGACCACTGTGCCCCCTAAACTCTCTCCAGCCTGGGCTGTCATTCACAATGTCTTGCTAGTGACCAGCAGCAAACCCCTCCAGGCACTGTGATCACTCAGCACAACCACATGTGGAGCTAGATTGCATGAATGCTCCCAGAGCCACTCATGAATCACACAGAGAAAGACACCAGAGCCAAACCCCTCCCAGCACTGTATCTCAGGAATATACCATCTTGCACTGCTCAAGATGGGCAGTGCAGATGTATTAATTGGTTCACTACTTCATCAATGGAACATGGCTATACACCAGCCTTTGCAAAACCGGAGTTTCATACAAACTCACTGGTAAAGATAAACAGTAAAACAAATTTATTTACTACAAAACATAGATATTAAGTGATAGGCAAAATGTCAGAGTTAGTCACCAAAAGAAATAAAATATAAGCACTCAGTCTAAACATAAGCACTCAGTCTAAACTCTCAACCCTATTAGACTGAGCAACAACTAGACTAAGCAATTTTTCTCACCCCACTGGATATTGCAGTCCTTAATATAGAGATTTGTCCCTTAACTCTGGGCCAGTGTCCTGTGTTGGAGTCTTCAGTCTTCTTCTTAATGTCTTTGTTGCTTGCAGCATAGGTAGGGGCAGGAGAAAAGGTCCAGCATGTTGCAACTGTGTCTGTTTTATAACCTCAGTCCCATGTGCTTGAGGAGCACAAGTCCAGGCATGTCTGGGGGCATTGCTGAATCTCCAGGCAAGGTTGAGCAATTCCCCTGGTGTGGCCTCATGCAGGTGAGTCACTGAATTGTAGCTCCCTTGCTGGACAATGGTTGTTAATGGGTTGTTTAACACCCCGCCCACGTGTTGGTTTGCTTACTTTCCTTCCTGTTGCCTCTGGGGAGCTAATATGTGGCTGATTTCCCAAGTTACAGCATGTTTTAGTGACAACCGTTCAACACAATTCTCATAACTTCATATGCATTACTGTTATACATATATGGATAGAGAAATGACTTTCAGCAGACCATAACCTTTCCCCTGATACCTTACAAGGCATGCTTTATATGTAAGATCACAGTTATAGACAGATGAGGAATATGGGGGGTTACCGGGTGCTCTCTCAAGATACAGAATGTCGCAAACGCCTCTCACAGAGGTGGATTTATTATGCCGACAGGAAAGCTCTCTCCCATCAGCAGAGAACGTCTGCAGTAGCAGCGCTACAGCATTGGCACAGCTGTGCTGCTGTAGCGATTCTAGTGTAGACTAGCTCTTAATGTCACACAGCAAGTCACTGGCAGAGCAAAAACAACACTGGTCTCAGTCTGGTGCTCTTTTCCCTGGACTATGCTGCCTCCCAATGGAGTGGAGGGGCAGTGTGGAGAAGAGAAGACAGCGAAATACCAGCATCCCTTCCCAGACTACGCAGTCATCAGTAGCCCCTCTCCTGCTGACTGTCCAACCTGAGATAGGGGTTTTGGTGTGGAGCGGAATAAGGGATCGCTGCTCTATATAGTATGTTTTCCTCTTAGAATGACATCATCTGAGCTAGAACATCCTTTGGAAGTTAATGCTGCTCACGACGCACAACCTTCCTCCCAACTAGTGTTCAGGGAGCTTTGGGTTACAGGTGGCAGATGGGAAAACCATGGCAGCACAGCAACTGAGACAGCTCTGATGCCAGGCCTGGGGAGCATGGATGTAAAGGGAATTTTTCACCATATATTTTTCCCCTTCTGATCTCAGGTCTATGGGAGGTTTGAAGACCATATTCCCTTGCACTAGTGCCATCAGATCAGCCCCTCTCTAAGAAGCATGTCCCTGAGCTGCATGACTAGAAATACCATGTGATTTCTGTAGTGTCATCTCCCCCCTCCCTTTAATATCTGAAGGAAATATGGGATTCATGTTAAAAAATATAGTTGTCTTTGCAGTTATGAAGAACCTTAAGGTCATTGTAAAAATATTGCATTGGGGGCCTGCAGCTTTTAAAAGGGATATATAATCAGCTTTGATCTTTAGAAATGACTTGTATTAAAAACAAAAACATACATTTTTAAAAATTCCATAACTTGGTTGTATTACTTAAAAATTAAGGGTCTTTGCCCCATTGATGGATTATGGAATGTTTTGCTGTGTAAAATGCAGTGGAGACAAAATTGCAGAATAATGGAAGGAGGAGACTATGTTGCAGAATAATGCTTTTTATCAGATACAGCAAAAAGACCAGAGGTCGTTTTAATAGACAAGACTTAATTGACTGTCTGCCTGATAAGATTTTATAATTTAATTTGAAGAGCCTTCAGTACCAACCCCCAGATAATCTTGCACATTGTACTGATTCAGTGAGAATTACATTTCACTTTCAATCTTACTTTCCCACCTGTACCGTAATCCTAAATCCCACATGGCCCCTTCAATTTACCTTATTTTTCTTTTTTCCCCCTCATAATAAGTCTTTCCAGTCTCCTCGTGTTGTGTTCAGTCCCTGTGGGCTATAATGCAGCATTGAAAGTAGTTATATGAATTTTCTTCAAATTGAATGTGAGCTATCGGGTAAAATGAATTTTTATACCATTACCTAGCGCTCTTGGGACAATTTGAAGGTAATAAGCAGCTTGTTACAAGACAGTAATTGTGGCTTTTTAGTACATTTGATCATTCATTCTTTCTGGAATAAAAATCCAAACCCCATTAAATCCCACAGTTGTAAGGACAAAAGTGTCATAAACCCCAATACTGCAGTGAGCTGTTTGTGGACTGAGACCATATTTTGTAGGAAAAGTTTAGACTCTTACTATAAATCAAATATGCAATTGATACTACTTTATTGCTAATGGAGGACTGTACAGCTTAGTGAGGTAAGATAACACTAAATTACTAAAAATTCGAGCTAAGGTGTAACTAGACCCCTAAAGTCCCAGCGCTACAAGGTGATTCACAAGTGGGGACCCCTGTTGAAGCAGAAGGCAACTTATGGCAGGTGAGGAATTGCTACACAATCTTAAAAAAGCAAAGAAACATGCAGTTACAGTGTATTGTCTTTTAGGGATTTATGGGGCAGGACCGGTGTTTACCCACACAGCCTTTTTCCATGTAGTCAAAACTTTAATTTTCAGTAAACTTGGTGAAAAGAAGATGATGGAAGACTACAAAGCCAATGTTAAACTTCCTGCAGCTGAATTTGTAATGTGACTCTACTCTGAAAAGGACTCCTGCATCATGGGGTTCCATATTTACTGTATCTCAGTTCCAGGGCAAAGACCCACACAAATGGAATAGCAATAGGATGGAGGTTCACTCATAGACTTTAAGGCCAGAAGGGACCATCGTGATCATCTAGCCCAGGAGTCGGCAACCTTTCAGAAGTGGTGTGCCGAGGCTTCATTTATTCACTCTAATTTAAGGTTTCATTTGCCAGTAATACATTTTAACATTTTTAGAAGGTCTCTTTCTCTAAGTCTATAATATATAACTAAACTATTGTTGTATGTAAAGTAAATAAGATTTTTAAAATGTTTAAGAAGCTTCATTTAAAATTAAATTAAAATGCAGAGCCTCCCGGACCGGTGGCCAGGACCCGGGCAACGTGAGTGCCACTGAAAATCAGATTGTGTGCTGCCTTTGGCACGCGTGCCATAGGTTGCCTACCCCTGATCTAGTCTGACCTCCCCAGTCCTGCAAACACAGCATGTACTTAAGTTAACTCATGTGAATGGCCTCATTAGAGTCAATATGGCTATATGCATATGTTGAAAGTTAAGCATATGCATATGTCTGTGCAGAACCAGGATCTAGGTCAGGGGTGGGCAAACTTTTTGGGCTGAGGGCCACATCTGGGTACGGAAATTGTATGCAGGGCTGGGGCAGGGGAGGGAGTGCAGTGTGCAGGAAGAGGCTCAGGGCAAGGGATTGGGGGCAGAGGAGGGGTGCGGGATGTATGAGGGGGCTCAGGGCAGGGAGTTGGGGGGCAGGAAGGGTGCAAGGTGCAGGCAGGGGACTTAGGGCAG